TCACTATAGGTCACCAAAGAAAATAAATCTCTTCATTTATTATATATCCGGAAAATAGTTGCCTCAATGTTGCCAAAAAAACGCGAAAAGATTTCCTAAATATTAAAAACGCATTTTATGCTTAGTTTGAGTTTAGGCGAAATTCTCTTACAAAGAAACATTTTAGAAGGATGACGTCAAGGACAAAAATAATCCTCATCAAATTTTACTATAAGTCACTAAGGAAAAGGAATCTGTATTTTGACTGTATATCCAAAAAATATTAGCCTAAATGTTGCCCAAAAACGCGAAAATATCTCTTAAATATTAAAATCACATTTTGTGCTTATTTTGAGTTTAGACGAAATTCTCAAACAAAGCATCATTTTAGAATGATGCTGTCAAAAATATTCTGCATCAAATTTCACTATAAGTCGCCAAAGAAAAGGAACCTCTACATCCATTATGTATCCGGAAAATATTTGCCTCAATGTTGCCCAAAAAACACGAAAAGATTTCCTAAATATTTAAAGCACATTTTGTGCTAAATTTGAGTTTAGGCAAAATTCTCTTACAAGGTATAATTTTAGAATGATGCTGTCAAGAACAAAAATAATCTCCATCAAATTTCACTATAAGTCACTAGGGAAAACAATTCTGTATTTCGACTGTATATCAAAAAATATTAGCCTAAATGTTGCCAAAAACGCGAAAATATCCCTCAAATATTAAAATTACATTTTATGCTTAATTTGAGTTTAGGCAAAATTCTCTCATAAGGTATCATTTTAGAAGGATGACGTCAAGAACAAAAATAATCTTCATCAAATTTCACTATAGGTCGCCAAGGAAAAGAAATGTGTACGTCTATTATATATCAGGAAAATATTTGACTTAATATCGTAAAAAAATCGTGAAAAGATTTCCTAAATATTAAAAAACAAAATTTTCGCTAAATGTGAGTCTTCGCAAAATTCTCCTACCAAGGAACATTTTAGAAGAATGGCGTAAAGGACACAAATATTCCTCACCAAATTTCACTATAGGTCGCCAAAGAAAATAAATGTGTACATCCATCATATATCCGGAAAATATTTACCTCAATGTTGCCCAAAAAACGCGAAAAGATTTCCTAAATATTTAAAACACATTGTATGCCTAATGTGAGTTTATGCAAAATTCTCCTACCAAGAAGCATTTTAGAAGGATGACGTCAAGGACAAAAATAATCCTCATCAAGTTGCACTATAAGTCACTAAGGAAAAGCAGTTTGTGTTCCGACGGTATATCAAAAAATATTAGCCTAAATGTTGCCCAAAAACGCGAAAATATCTCTTTAAATATTAAAATCACATTTTGTGCTTAATTTGAGTTTAGGTGAAATTCTCTTACAAGGTATCATTTTAGAAGGATGGCGTAAAGGACAAATATAATCCTCATCAAATTTCACTATAAGTCACTAAGGAAAAGGAATCTGTATTTTGACTGTATATCAAAAAAATATTAGCCTAAATGTTGTCCAAATACGTGAAAATATTTTCTTAATATTAAAATACACTTTTTATGCTTAATTTGAGTTTAGGTGAAATTCTCTTACAAGGTATCATTTTAGAAGGATGGCGCAAAGGACAAATATAATCCTCATCAAATTTCACTATAAGTCGCTAAAGAAAAGAAATATCTGTATCAATTATATAACAGGAATATATCTGTCTCAATGTTGCCAAAAAAATCGAAAATATGTCCTAAATATTAAAAACACTTTTTAAGCTTAATGTCAGTTTATGCAAAATTCTCCCACAAAGCATCATTTTAGAAGGATGATGTCAAGGACAAAAATAATCCTCATCAAATTTCACTATAAGTCACTAAGGAAATGGAGTCTGTATTTCGACTGTATATCAAAAAAAAATATTAGCCTAAATGTTGCCCAAAAACGCGAAAATATCTCTTTAAATATTAAAATCACATTTTATGCTTAATTTAAGTTTAGGCAAAATTCTCCCACAAAGCATCATTTTAGAATGATGCTGTCAAGGACAAAAATAATCCTCATCGAATTTCACTATAAGTCGCCAAAGAAAAGAAATCTCTATATCAATTATATATCAGGAAAATATCTGCCTCAATGTTGCCCAAAAAAACGCGAAAATATTTCATAAATATTAAAAACACATTTTATGGTTAAAGCTATATTCTGAGTTTTTGCGAAATTCTACTACAAAACATCGTTTTAGAAGGATATTATTAAAGACAAAAATGTTATTCATTAAATTTCACTATAAGTCACTTAAGAAAATAAAACTCTTTTTTCATTGTAAATCAAAAGAATACTTGCCTCAATGTTCCTCATAAAACCTGAAAATATTACCTAATTTCATTGATCAATTTTTTCTCTGACTTTTCTTGAGTTCAAGCCCGAAAGAATCATACAGTTTTAGGCAGAAAGTGTCAAAAGAAGAAATATTCTACACAAAATTTCACTACAAATCTCAGAATAAACCATTTACCTAGGTTTGATATGTTTAAAGAAAATTACATTCGAAATGTATATTATTGCAAGTGGAACGTGCTTTACGTTTTTTACTGCCAAAATAACAACATTCCATTCTAAGTCAAAATCTCCTATAATTTTTCTACTTTTTGGGACAAGTGTCAAAGGAAGAATTATTCTAGATCAAATTTCACTATAAGTCTCTGAAGAAAAGGAATCCATATTTCTATTATATATCCAAAAAATATTAGGAGTAATGTTGCCAAAAAACACAAAAGACGTCTATTTTTTGGATACATTTTTCTTTGAATTTTTTTTGAGTTGACGCCTGAAAGTAACATAAAATTTCGTTTTAGACGGAAGGTGCTAAAAGAAGAAATATTCTACTCAAAATTTTTCTAAAAAGCCTGTAATATACCATATTTCTATGTTTAATAGTTTTTAAGAAAATTAAATTCGAAATGTGAGTACTACAAAGGAAAATTTTGTATTTGCCTCTTTTTGCTTTTAATTTAACACCTTTCCATTCTAAGTCAAAATCTTTTATAATTTTCCACTTTTTGGGCAAAGTGTCAAAGGAAGAACTATTCTAGACCAAATTCCACTATAAGTCTCTAAAGAAAAAAAATCCATATTTCCATTATACATCCAGAAAATATTAGCAGCAATGTTGCCAAGGAAACACAAACGACGTCTATTTTTTGGATACATTTTTCTTAAAATTTGCATAAAAATTTCGTTTAAGGCAAAAATTGTCAATGGAAGAAATATTCTGCACTAAATTTCACTATAAATCTCAAAATAAACTATATGTCTAGACCTAGCAGTTTTTAAAAAAATTACATTCGAATTTCTGTTACTACAAGCGAAATATGTGTTAATGTTTTTTTATTGCTAATTTAACACTTTTTCATTCTAAGTCAAAAACTCCTATAATTTTACATTTTTTGGGTTAAATGTCAAAGGAAGAAGTATTCTATACAAAATTTCACTGTAAGTCTGTAAAGAAAAGAAATCCATATTTCCATTATACATCCAGAAAATATAAGTTGCCAAAGAAACACAAAACATGTCTATTTTTTGGATACATTTTTCTTCGTGTTTTTTTTCGAATTTACGCCTGAAAGTTGCATAAAAATTTCGTTTAAGGCAAAAATTGTCAAAAGAGGAAATATTCTACACAAAATTTCATTATAAATCTCAGAATAAACTATATGTCTAGGCCTAGCAGTTTTTAAGAAAATTACATTCGAATTTCGGGTACTACGAGCGAAAATTGTATGTTAACGATTTTTTATTACTAGTTTAACAATTTTCCATTCTAAGTCAAAATCTCCTATAATTTTACATTTTTTGGGGTAAATGTCAAAGGTAGAACTATTCTTAATCAAATTTCACTATAAGTCTCTAAAGAAAAAAAATCCATATTTCCATTATACATCCAGAAAATATTAGCAGCAATGTTGCCAAGGAAACACAAACGACGTCTATTTTTTGGATACATTTTTCTTAAAATTTGCATAAAAATTTCGTTTAAGGCAAAAATTGTCAAAAGAGGAAATATTCTACACAAAATTTCATTATAAATCTCAGAATAAACTATATGTCTAGGCCTAGCAGTTTTTAAGAAAATTACATTCGAATTTCGGGCACTACAAGCGAAATATGTGTTAACGATTTTTTATTGCTAATTTAACAATTTTCCATTCTAAGTCGGAATCTCCTATAATTTTCCACTTTTTGGGCAAAGTGTCAAAGGGAGAATTATTCTAGATCAAATTTCACTATAAGTCTCTAAAGAAAAGAAATCTATATTTCCATTATACATCCAGAAAATATTCGCATCAATTTTGCCAAAGAAACACAAAACACGTAAATTTTTTTGATACATTTTGCTTTGGGCTTTTTTCAAGTTGACGCCTGAAGGTAACATAAAATTTCGTTTTAGACGGAAGGTGCTAAAAGAAGAAATATTCTACACTAAATTTCACTACAAATCTCAGAATAAACTATATGTCTAGGTTCTACAGTTTTTAAGAAAATTAAACTCGAAATGTGAGTACTGCAAATGAAAAATATGTGTTTGCGTTTTTTAACTTTAAATTTAATAGGTTTCCAATCGAAGTCAAAATCTCCCTGAAAACTTCGTATTTTTGGAAAAGTGTCAAAGGAAAAATTAATCTAGATCGAATTTCATTGTGAGTCTCAGAACACAAGAAATTTGTATATTCAATATTTACCATGAAAAAATATCATCAATTTTTGTTAATTAAAAAACCTTGTTTATTTTTGAAAAAATTTCTCACTTTTTCCCAATTTGCTGCAAATTATTTTTTTTGGTACAGAAAATGGGTCATATCGGTCTATATTCATACCTGTTGAGGCTTAGGGGCCTCCGTAACAACAAAATTAAAAATATTAAAAAAAATCGTTAAAATCTTAAAAATATTCCTAAATTTTTGTGACCCGAAATAATTTTTTAAAATTTGTCTTCTCTTTCCAGCCAACGCCACCTAGCGAAGTGGAGTTGCAATTAAGCTGTAATTTCCCTAGTTTTACACCCTATGCCTCAATTGTTAGCCGTAGAAAACCACCATGGCTGATTATGTTACTGTGGTAGAGGTGGATGATCCTCAGTCATCCAAAGACACAAACCCATTGCTGGCCAATTCACCACAACAAAACTCAACGAATGGAACGGCACTATCGGCTGATGATCCCTCATTTATAACGGTGTTATCGATCAACAACAATAATAACACAAATCACCACCAACAACAGCCGCAACCCACCACAGTTGAGGTGGAGGGCCATAGCAAAGCCACAAACCTGGCCGATGATGACACCGAAGAGGTGGTGGTCTATCGTTTGGTTGGTGAACGCTTGGGCTTTGGCTTGAAGTTTCAAGGTGGCACTCGCAGTGCTGAGAAAGTACAAAAATTATTCATACAATCATGTGCCAAGGATAGTCCCGCCTCCAAGGTGGTCACCTCATGGGGTCAACTCAAGGAGGGAGATGAAATTGTCAAAATCGATGAACATTATGTTCGGGATATGACACGGATAGAATGTGTGAAATGTTTAAAGGATAATGTGGCCATAAAGCTGGTGGTACGAAATGGTAGGGGTTTGAAGCCCATGGATTTTGAGGAGGAGGGGTCTGGGGAGCAGCAACACAATTTGTTGCCCAATGCAGGCAATGGTCACATGAAGGCAGCCCCGCCTCCACCGCCACCAGTGCCGCCCAGGAAATTGATCAAAAAACAAAGATCTTTCAAGGACAGCGACCGGCCTGAAATGGCGCCCAACAGAACAATGGAAATTGTGGAAATGTCTGCGGAACGTTCCTTTACCCCGCCACCCGATGCGGAGTATTATATCAATTTATTTGCCGAAAACAATGGCTCGAATGGTTCCCTGCTAAGGAATCCCTCACGCAATGGTGAGTCCGAGTCGGATGATACGGCCAGCACCATATCCACGGTAATAGATCGTTACTCCATGACCTCGACTTATTCCTCGGAATCAGATCTTTCGGGTTTTACATCCTTGAATAATGGCCAGAATAATGGCGTGAAATCAGAACTGGCCAAGGTTTTGAAACCATTTGCCCTGTTGGAACAGGAATTCAAGGTGGAGGGAGGTTTGGATAGCTCTCTCATTACCGAGGTAATGGAGGTGAGCTTTAAGCCGGGAAATAATTATGAAAATGTGGAATTTAAAACCGAGAAAATCAACAATTATGAAAATGTGGAACTGAAGAGGAAAGAGGAGGATCCTGTGGCCAAGGATGAGGTGGACAAAAGCAGGGAGGCGAAACAAGAAATTGTGACCGCAGAGAGCAAGCAGTCCCCCACTCCCACACCCAAACCTAGACAACAGGTGCCCACATCGCCCGTGGAACCCAAGAAACGTTCCATTATACCCATGCCCCGGAAGCTGAGCATAAATGGCAAACAAGCCATTGAGGTGCCGCCACCCAAAATTCCTGAGGGGGCCATGATAAAGTCCAGTACAGAGACCCAGAATACGAAATCTCCCACCACCTCCCCAGTCACTGGCAAGTCCTTCCAAGAGCCACCAGCCACCAAAGAATTTACCACAAAAATACCCAAGGCCATCCATTCGCCCAGCAGCCAATATCGCTCCCTGGAGAGGGCCAAGACCGAAAGTGAAATCAAACTGAAACAGGAAATCACAAAACAGGACAAACTGAAGTTACAAACCTCGGAATTTTTGGTCCACGAATCAACAAATGGCCAGAAAATGGAAACCAAACTCCAAAAGCCAGCCTCTCCTGTCAAATCTCGTATCCCCATTGTCCTGAGCCCCAAAAGATCCTTGGATCTGGAATCCTCGCTGGAAAAGAAGGCCTCTCAGAAATCTCCCACAAATATACCACGGCTGCTAACCAAGCAGAAATCCGAAACTGATCTGAAACTTAACTACTGTCGCTCCAAGGAAAACAGTCCCACAATGTCCAGTAAGATACCCCTGCAAAGGACCATTTCGGCCGATTCGAAAATAAAAATGCCCGAAAGGACCCTTATACCGGTGCTGCATGTCAACAATAGCCCTAATGGTGGTACCTCTTCCACGGAAAGCTTGAATTCCAATTCCACAGGAAGTAACTCCACCTTAGGCGGGAAATCCGGCCGAGGACCCAAACCCAAGCCCCCGGAGCGAGTGCAGTCCTTGAACAAAACACAAATACCCAAGGCAAATGTGACCACCGTCACGGTTGTGGATCGTTCCAGTACAAACTCGCTCAACTCTCCTCACAGCTCTCCCCTGCCAGCCATGCAGACATTTAAGCAACCCTCACCGCCCAAGCAAACGGAGAAACCCCTAACACCACCCTCCCCAAATCGGGAGATACGTTTTAAAATACAAACCTACAATGCGAACAGCAACAACCACAATGCCTTCCAGGAACCCGAAGAGCTGCCCAGTCTCTTTGAGCTGCAGCGGCGCAACAGTCCCGATACGGCCAGGAAAAATGAGGAATTCTCAACCTTTAAGGCCACAACTCCACCGAGTAACAGCAGCACCAGTCAGGAGCAAAAAGAACTTAAACAAGAGCCAGAAGATGAGTTGGATCGCATTACACCCCCTCCCCTGGTGGTGGTGGGTAAATGTGTCAAAGTCAATGATGCCACCGCTCCCATGTACTACTCGAGTTCGAGCAGTGACGAGGAGAATGAAACCGATATGAGTGGAGCCTATGACGATGACAAGGATTACATTTGTGAGGATGGCGAGAAATTGGGACCGCCGGAGTTAATCAATGGTCCTGGACCCTCCGAGGCCTATTTCAATCTCTATTGGCACTCAAATATGCTGCCCACCATCGGGGAGGTGGAGGAGGAATGCTCGTCGCTGGAACTGCAGTCGCTGAACACAAATGGGTGAGTAGAGGAAATTTAAAAATTGTATTCGGAATTTCTATATTTTCAACGGAAGTTAGCTGTAAATGAGGAGCAACATTCCTAGGAATTTAGGAATTTTATTCCTAAAAATATTTCTAAAATCCAGTGAAATTTTTTTCGATTTTTTAAAATTTTGTCTCTTTGTGGGGGAGGTACTAGAAGAAATTGTCCGATATCCACCATTTTTATAACAGATATTGTGTTGATGTTAATATTGAGATGTACCCAGTCAGAATGGAATCGGATGTTAATTACGCGTTTTATGGGCTTCATTAATATTCAAAATTTGTACTCTTTGTGGGGGAGGTACAAGAAGGAGTGGACCAATACATTCCATCTTCACAGCAGATTTTGTGTTGGTAGATATATTGGGATGTATGAAATTTGAAGAGAGAATGGATGCTTATTTAGGTTTTTATGATCGTTTCGGTAATTCAAAATTTTGACCCTTTGTGGGGGATGTACCAGAAGAAAAAGCTCGATCTCCACCATTTTTATAACAGAAGTTAAATAAAAATAAACTAGAATAAATGGCCCGACCTCTACCATCTTTATAACATATCTTGTGTTGATGGAAATATTGAGATGTGCCAAGTCTGAATGGTATCGGATGTTAATTTCGCGTTTTATGAGCTTCATTTATATTCAAAATTTCGACCCTTTGTGAGGGAGATACCAGAAGGAGTTGACCGACACATTCCATCTTCACAGCAGACCTTGAGCTAATAAAAATATTGTGATATGTGTAATATGAAGACAAGCGGACTCTTACATCACATTTTATAAGAGTTATAATTATTCAAAATTTTGACCCTTTGTGGGGGAGGTACTTGATGGAGTGGAGCGATATTATCCATTTTTGCACCTAATCTAGAACTGATGCAAATATTAGGATTTGCAAAGTTGGAGCAAAATCGGATGATCCTTTCTCTGCCCGTGCCGTTTAAATATTTTCTTAAAAAATGTCGATTTTTTGTGGGGGAAGTACCAGAAAGAGGGGCCGATATTGCTCATCTTCGAACTCAATCTAAGTTTGACAATAATATTACAATGTACTAAGTTTGGATCAAATCGGATACTCTCTTCGAGAGTTATCCAGCACACCAGCCAGACTCACGGAATGGACGGAAGGAGGGACATCGCTAGATCGACTCCAAATGTCCTGAAACGGATTTGGTCCAAAGAGATCTAGGGTTTAAAACCGTTATTTCGATGAGGCATGTCTTGGCTGTATGAAATGATATATACCCTCTTTAGCCATATGACTGAGGGTATAAAATTCCACGGTCTTATATCTATAAAAATCTATGAACTTTGATCGTAAAAGTTTATGAACTTCGTTCTTAAAAAATCCACTTATTTTTTCTTTAAAATTTTATGAATTTTTTTTCTTCAAAATCCACCTACTCTTTTCTTAAAAAATCAAGGACATTTTTTCCAAAAACGCAACGAACTTTGTTCTTAAAAATCTATAAAATTTGTTCCTAAAAATCCACGAACTTTGTTCTTTTAAAACTCTTCTTAAAAATCTATGAACTTTGTTCCTAAAAAATCCACAAACTTTGTTCCTGAAAAATCCACGAACTTTGTTCCTAAAAATCCACGAACTTTGTTCTTTTAAAACTCTTCTTAAAAATCTATAAAATTTGTTCCTAAAAATCCACGAACTTTGTTCCTTAAAACTATTCTCAAAAATCTACGAACTTTGTTCTCAAAAATACAAGAACTTTGTTCTCAAAAATACAAGAACTTTGTTCCTAAAAAATCCACAAACTTTGTTCCTAAAAAATCCACGAACTTTGTTTTTAAAAATCCACGAACTTTGTTTTTAAAAATCCACGAACTTTGTTTTTAAAAATCCACGAACATTGTTCTTAAAAAGCCACGAACTTTGTTCCTGAAAAATCCACGAATTTTGTTCATAAAAGTCAATGAACTTTTTTCCTGAAAAACCCAAGAATTTTGTTCATAAAAGTCAATGAACTTTGTTCCTAAAAGTCCACGAACTTTATTCTTTAAATCTATTCTTAAAAATCTACGAACTTTGTTCCTGAAAAATCCACGAATTTTGTTCATAAAAGTCAATGAACTTTGTTCTTAAAAGTCCATGAACTTTGTCCTTTAAATCTATTTTTAAAAATCTGCGAACTTTGTTCTTAAAAAGCCACGAACCTTGTTCCTGAAAAATCCAGGAATTTTGTTCACAAAAGTCAATGAACTTTGTTCTTAAAAAGCCACGGACCTTGTTCCTGAAAAATCCACGAATTTTGTTCATAAAAGTCCATGAACTTTGTTCTTAAAAATCCACGAACTTTATTTTTTAAATCTATTTTTAATATCACATAAACTAGGTTCTTAAAAATCCACGAACTTTGTTCCTTAGGATCCTTGAACTTTGTTCTTTAAAACTGTTCTTATAAAATATATGAACTTTGTTCTTAAAAAATCTACAAACTTGGTTCTTTAAAAATAAAATATAAATAAATATCCCCTAATGGTGCTCTGAAAAATCTACGACCATTTTTTTAAATCCACGATCTTTCTTATCAAATTTGCACGAATTTTATTTTTTAAAATGTTCTTAAAAATTTACGAACTTTGTTCTTGAAAGTGTTCCTAAAAGTCCAAGAACTTTGTTCCTTAATCTTATTTTTAAAAACGATGAATTTTGTTCTTAATTTTGTTATTAATTTTGTTAGGACCCATTAACTGAATCCCCAAAATTATTCTCAAAAATCTTGGAACTTTGTTTCTTTCAAGTAGTTTTTTTTTTTAAATTCATGAACTTTGTTCCTAAATCGTACTTCCTCTAAAAATATTCTGAACTATTGTTCTTGAAAGTATTCTCAAAAATCGATGAAATTTGTTCAATAAAATTATTTTTTAAAACTTGAAGAACTCCTCTCACCAAATTGTTATTAAAACCCATTTTAGGAACTATTTTCGAAAGATTACGAACCCTGTTCCTAACATTGTTCATAGAATCCATGAACAATGTTCCTAAAAGCTATTTATAGGAAATCACCATCCTTGCCGGGAACACCAGAGATAGTATTTTAAGATTCAACAATCTTCTTTGAAACTGTATGAATCTTCCTTTCTCATATCGCCTCTTTCCCCCTCTTCACACCCCTGCGATACCAATTCCCTCCCAGATTCTCCCACACTTCAGAATTAATTTATGGCCTCTAATTTCCATACTTATCAGCCACTTCACACCTTCGTGTGAAGCAAATTGCAATTTTTTGAAAATTGCGATCTTTATCTCTGTTGGCGGGGAGGACGACCTATTTTTGGTTTTAGTAGGAATAATTTTACCCACAAAACATTATGAGTAATTATTATTGAACTTGGGGCGGAGGCAAAGAGTTCTGGGGCTCGCATTCATTTTTTGGGTAACAAATCAAAGAGTTAAGACAAAAACAATAACAATTTGATGGCATTGTTACCGCCACCACAATTTGTCCCATGCAATCGTTGTGATAAGAAAATTCCCCCATATCTGGGAGGTGATAACAGTCAGCCAAGCTAAACATATGACACCGGCATTGATAAAGCACCGCATCTAACGGCAATGGGAAGAGAGAGCGAACGAGCGAGAGTTGGAGTGGGAAAAAGAGAGCAAATTAGTTAAGGTAAAGCATTAATGAATGTTTTGATGAATAGTCGGAATGGGTTGAGGGAAAAGTAGGGTAGTGTGGGATAAGGTAGACTTTGAGAAGAGGAGGAAAAAAATCTTCGAACCTTGCACGAAAAGAAAATAGTTCCTAAAATCCAGCAATTTTAAACGTATTTTTAGGAAAAAGTTTTTTAATTTTAAGAAAAATATTCATAAATATTTAAAAAAAAAAAATGGGATAGAAGCTCATGCATATTTTGAAGAATATTTTGCGGGAAAAATTGTCGAAAAATATTTGAAGAAAAAGTTTTTTGTAGAAAGATTTGGAGTAAGGAGTTATGGGTAGTTTGAAAACCTTCTTTAACAGAACCTTTGGGCATTGCTTCTAAAAAAATATTCTTAAAATCCCGGAATTTTAAAAATGTTTTTAGGAAAACATTTTTGAATTTTAAGAAAAATATTCATAAATTGTTGAAGAAAACTTTTTGCGGAACAATAGCCATGCATTGCTGAAGAATGCTTGTAGAAAAATATTTCGTGGATTTTAAGAATATTTTTATGAAAAATGTTCATAAATATCTAGGGAATGGAATGTAGTTCGATTTGGGGTAAGATAGAATTGTTATGAGTTGTTTGGATTTCAAAAAGAATCTCCCAGCATTGTTTCGGAAAAAAATATTCCTAAAATATAGGAATTTTGAACATATTTTTAGGAAAAAGTTTTTGAATTTTAAGAAAAATATTTATAAATATTTGTGGAAAAATAGGAAAAAATTCTTAAATTTTAAGAATATTTTTATGAAAAACAAAAATATTTAGAGAATGGATAAGAGAGAACAATTCAAAGAGAGCACCGGTTTCATACGATATTCAAAGCAGCCTTATTCAAGGCAGGCTTTTCTGCCGTAGTCCCATTAATTTTTTTCTCCATCTGATATTTTTAGGAAAAAGTTTTTGAATTTTAAGAAAAATATTCATAGTAAGGATAATTTCTTCGGGCCTGGCTCCCAAAAAGATTATTCCTAAAATCCAGGAATTTTGAGCACATTTTTAGAAAAATGTTTTTGAATTTTAGGAAAAATATTCGTAAATATTTTTAGAACATTTTTAGTTTATGGATATTTTGAAGAATATTTTTTTCTGGAAAAAAGCCATAGATTTTTGAAGAATATTTGTAGGAAATCATTCCGTAAATTTTAAGAATATTTTTATGAAAAATGTTCATAAATATTGAGAGAATGAATGAGAGATACATTTTTTAAAGAGCATCGGTACTATAGGGTATTCAAGGCAGGCTTTTCTGCCTTAGTCCCATTAATTTTTTTCTCCATCTGATATTTTTAGGAAAAAGTTTTTGAATTATAAGAAAAAAATTCATAAATATATTTAACAACATTTCTGGAACCAATTTCATGGATATTTTCAAGAATTATTTTGCAGAAAAATAGCCATGGATTGTTGAAGAATATTTTTAGGAGAACATTTCGTAAATTTTAAGAATATTTTTAGGAAAAATGTTCATAAATATTGAGAGAATGGAATGTAGGTCGATTTAATGACGATTTTGGCAAGAGGTTTGGAAACCCATTTCAAAACAATATTTGGGTCTGGCTCCCAGAAAAATTTTACTAAAATTTAGGAATTTTGAGCATATTTTTATTTATTTTTTTGAATTTTTAAGGATAATTTCTGAGAAAAAAGTTCAAGGATGTTTTGAAGAATATTTTGCAGAAGAAAATAGCCATGGATTGTTGAAGAGCATTTGTAGGAAAACATTTCGTAAATTTTAAGAATTTTTTTATGAAAAATGTTCATAAATATTGAGAGAATAGAATGTAGGTGGATTTGAGGTCGATTTAAGCTAGATTTTGGGTTAAGGTTTGGAAACCTATTTTAATATAATCTTTGGGCCTTGCTTCCATAAGAATTATTCCTAAAATCTAGGAATTTTGAGCATATTTTTAAGAAAAAGTTTTTGAATTTTAAGAAAAATATTCATACTTTTTTATGGATAATTTCTAAGATAAATGTTGAAGGATGTTGTAAAGAATATTTTGCGGAACAAATAGAAAAATATTTTTAGGGAAACTTTTCGTAAATTTTAAGAATATTTTTATGAAAAATGTTCTTAAATATTGAGAGAATGGAATGTAGTTGGATTTGAGGTCGATTTAAGCTTGACTTTGGGAAGAGGTTTGGAAACCTATTTCAGAATAATCTTTGGGTCTGGCTCCGAGAAAAATTATTACTAAAATTTAGGAATTTTGTGCACATTTTTAGGAAAAAGTTTTTGAATTTTAAGAAAAATATTCATAAATATTTTTGGAAAATTTCAATTTTATGGACGTTTTGGGGAATATTTGCCGGAAAAATTGCCATGGATTATTGAAGAAAATTTGTAGGAAAATAGTTCGTAAATGTTAAGAATATTTTTCATAAATATTGAGAGAATAGATAAGAGAGAAAAATTCTAAAAGCATGTCGGTAGCATAGGGTACCCATGGCAGTCTTCTCTGCCGTAGCCCCTATTTTGTGCACCTGATTTGTTTGTTGTGAAACTGGCCGGAAAGTAAACAGACTAACGTACAAAATAATAATAATGAGAAATCATCGTCAACTTGCCGATGATAAGGCAGGCAGGCAGGCTGGTTGTGAGTGCAGCGGTTTCATTTACAGGTGCTTGCTTGCCGAGCTTATCAGCAAAACTACGTTACGCTTATGTTGGGTAAAAGAAAATTGGAATTTTAGTATAGAGTTCCGATCGAAAAGGTTAAGGTTACGTTACGAAAAAAAATAGAGAAGAAAAAAACGAAACGACAAGTTAGACGAAAACAAAAGTAAAAGTGGTGTAAACCAAAAGCGACACGACCATTACAAGCTAATTTCCGTTGAGAAGCGATATTTGAAGATAATTTTTAAAAGAGTTCTGATTTGAGACCAGAGGTGTTCAAAGATAATTTTTACAGAGATTGGAAATGGGAGTTAATAAATGTTTTTTTGTTTCCCTTCCAGGCCCATTGTCATAGTTGATGATTTGAGCCAGCAGAAAACGGCTGGAGCTTCAAAGCCAGAAATTTCGGAAAAACTGGAAGCCGAACAAAAACCCCAAGCCAGCAGTAGTCAAGTTTTAAAGGGAAATCTCAAGAAGCCGCCATTTATTGGAGTGCCTGTACTGCCACCTACGGTACCAGGTTTTGAGGACCTCAAAAATCTAAAGAAAACTCTCAAAGAGGTGAGCCCATCAAAGGCCGCAGACAAAATGAGTGAAGAGACAAAAGAGAAATGCAAAAAATTGCCAAATGTCGAAGAAGATAAGATAGCACCGATTGGCGATATGCAAAGCGAACAGGAAGCGAACAAGGTTATTGAAGATATTGCCGAAAAATTGGATATTTCACAGAAAACCGAAAATCAAGAACAAAACTTTGTGGAGGTGAGCAAAAGTTCTTCCAAGGAAGTTTCGGAGGATAATAGCCAAACCTCGGAAACATCTCAAGAGGTAAAGACAGAACAGACCACCACCAAAACAGAGACCCGGACCACAACAACCACAAAGAAGGTCATAAAATCCTCAACGACCACCACCAGCTCCTCCCAGGTGCTGGAGACCAGCCAGCTTGATGACCTGCCGGAGGAATTTAAGAAAATTGTTGCCAGCCAAAACTTGCCCGAGGAGTTCAAGAAATTGCTCGACTCACCCAAATCTCCGCAGGATGCCAGCAAGAAACCGGTATTTACCCTACAACCCTATAATGAGAGGAAAAGTAATACCAAAATAACCGTGCTCGAGGAGCGGCAATTTGAGTCCGATCAAAAGGCCTATTCGGAGATACGCACCAAGGATGCCCAGACCGGGGAGGAGAAGGTCCAGAAGTCCAGTGAAAGCCACAAGGAGCGGGCCAAGCTGAAGAAGGTACAAAGTCAAGATAGTCTGGATGACAACTTTGGGGCCTCGGAACAACAACAACCACTAACTGTTACCGCCAAAGCGGAAACACGATTAGCGGAGGAGGCCCACAATCCACAGGATAATCAAAGTATTGCTCGAGGTATTTTGAAATTATCGGAGTGTGGTAAACAAATACAAACGAATGACATGGGTGGTGTGGATCTCGTGGAGTGTGAGCATCAGGTAATGGAGACCTTCGAAGATTCCGAACAGATACTGAAGCCGGAAAACTCCGAAAATCCTAGCGTAAGTCAAGAGAAACCCTCGCTACTCAGGGAGTTAAGTGAGACCCTAACGGTGACCAAAGATGGTGATACCCAGGTCACGAAACGCAGCGAAACGACCCGGGAGGAGGCCAAGCCCGAGATCTTTGCCAGCTCCAGGGAGATGCCAAGTCCTCAAAGTGGGGAAACGAAAAAAATACTCGAAAATGAATCGGAACTTCTGGTGGATCAACTGTTCAAGGATGCCGAAAAGCAGGCTCTGAAACGTAGCGAAACACCAGCCGCCGCCACCAAAAAGGTGGTGAAACTTGTCAAGAAAACCGAGGAGGAAAAACGCCTGGAAATGGAGGCCCAAAAGCTGATCGAAAGTTACCAAAAGGTACGCAAGGAGGCAGAGAAACTGTTTCAATTCGATAATTTCCGCCATGATGATGATCAGCAGGGTTTCGATTTGAGTGGCTTGGAAGTGGAGGAGGAGCAAGAGCAGGAAAAGGAAACGGAGCAAGAAACTCCGGAGAAGACTAAGGAAACGATGGAAGTAGTTTCGGAGAAGTTGGAGAAGGCAACGCAAGGAGTTCTGGAAAAGGGGAAGGAAAAAATGTCAGAAACTCCGGTGAAATTGGAGGAAACGTTGCAAGGAGTTTTGGAGAAGGTGAAGGAAACAATGCAAGAGAAAAAGTCTCCAGAAATCGAAGCATTAGAACTGGGAGAAAAGAAATCTGAAACAGAGGGAAAGACACCAGAGCCGAAAGAGAGGAAAACTAAGTCAGGAATGAGATCTGAGCCAGGAGAGAAAATATCTGAAGCTCAGCGAAAGAAATCGGAACCTGAGGAGAAGAATATTAAGTCGGAAATGAAATCTCAGCTAGAGAAGAAGAAATCGGAGGCGGTAGAGAAGAAATCTGTGTTAGAAATTAAATCTGAGCTAGAGAAGAAGAAATCCGAATCTGAGGAGAAGAAACTCAAGTCAGAAATGAAATCTGAGCTAGAAAAGACGAAATCGAAGGCGGAAGAGAAGAAATCCGAGCCAAAAGTAAAATCTAAACCTGAAATGAAGGAACTGGAAGCGATGAAGTCGGCACCAGAAGTGATGAAATCTGAGCCACAAATAAGCACTTCGGATGTGAGGAAATCTACGCAGGGCAAGAAGCCATCTGGGGAAGGAGAAAAGAAATCCGAAACAGAAGTGATGAAATCTGAACCAGAAGCGATGAAATCAGTACCAGAAGTGATGAAATCTGAACCAGAAGTGCTGAAATTCGAGCCACAAGTAAGCACTTCCGAAGCAAAGAAATCTGCGCAAGTCGCAAAGCAATCTGAGCAGGAGGAGAAGAAATCTGAGGGACAAGTTAGCAAATCTGAAGAAATGGCGAAGCAATCTGAGCCAGAGAAGCAGAAATCTGCATCGGAAGTGATGAAATCAGAAGTGGAATTGATGAAATCTCAGCCAGAAGTAAGCACTTCAGAAGTGAATAAATCGAAGCAAGACACGAAAAAATCCGAACCAGAACTGAAGAAATCGGAGAAGGAAGTAAAGAAATCTGAACCACAAATACAAAACTCTGAACCTGAACTGAAGAAATCTGAGCCCGAAAAACCGAAATCCACACCAGAAGTGATGAAATCTGCATCAGAAGTAAGCACTTCTGAATCAAAAGAGAAAAACTCGGAACTAAAGAAAGTCAAACCAGAAATTACGAAAATCACAACAGAAGTGAAAACATCCTTACCCGAGGTTATGAACTTCGAGGTGATGACACCTACAAAAGAATCGATGAAACCGGAACCACTGGTAAGCACTTTAGTAAGCACACTGGATGTGAACAAGTCTGACAAAGAAGTTCAAAAGAGTATCGAAGAGAAACCATTGGAGAACGATGAAAGCCATTCTCTGAAGAGAGAAAGTGCTAAGGAGAGAGCTGAGATAACCGGAGAGAGCAAGACAACAAAGTTTGAAATAAAGGATCAAATTTCTCTCAAGAAGAGAGTAAATGAAGAAGAGAATGTTTCTTCTGCCAAGGAAGAAAATGGCTCTCAAAAAATGTCTGATAAAACTGAGAAGCCAGAGAGCTTGGCAGCTCACCACTTGGAAAATGAACTCCCAAGTCCCTCAAGATCTGCCAGTGAGATATTAAGGTCTCCCATTGTCATTTCACCCAGTTCTTCGGATGATATACTCAAGGAAGAACCTGAATATGTTTTGCACAAAAAAATTATCGGAAAAGAAAAGAAAGAATCTGCGATAACGGAAATAATCACCACCATAGAAGAGACAACCAGGAAACTCTCTGAGAAGTCAAGCTCGAAATCTCCCATTGTCAGAGAAAAACTGGCGCACAAAGAAACCAGCACCAAGACCATTAAAATATCTCCCAAGTCTTCGCCCAAAGCCTCACCTAAACTCAAGCGCAGCGAAAAAAGCAAAACCAAGGCGGAAAATGGAGAGGAATCAACTCCCACCTCTCCGAAAATGAAACCTAAACCCACTCCCAAACCCAAGCCACCTGTACCTCAACGCCGAAACAGTGCCGATTCGGGCGCCAAACCCATACCCAAGCGTAGAGGTTCCCTGGAGACCACAGCCTCCATAGTTTTACCACCCAAAGATGTCAGTCCAACCACTCCGATAATTGAAATACCCAAACCCATGGAACGTATTATTGTGGGTGTGGAACATCATATTATTATACCTTCGGCTGATTTAAAGAAAGATTCCGCACCACAGCGGCCCATCATTACCTTAGCCAGTGATAAGCTACCTTCTGTGGTGGAGAAACAATTTTCTTTTGAATCAAAAGTTCCGTTACTCAGTCAAACTGCCTCGGGTGATTTATTGGAGACCATAAATTTGCCAAATGCCAATCGCTCATCTTCGGATATATCCGAAAGAGATTCCAGAGAAATTTTGGTCTCATCTTCGTTGGATTCGATGCAAAGTGTTGGGGAGAAATTGCCGAGCTCTGCGGTCACGGTGCAAACTGATGAGGAGCAGGAGGAGGAGGAGGAGGAGGAGTCTTTGAAAATGGAGGAAGAGGACCAGGATATGTTAGCCCATCTAGAGCAGGAGAAGAAAATTGAAGGTAAGTGGAATATTTTTTTTTAAATTTTTTTTTCTATGCGTGAAAATAAATTACTTGGATATGGGGTCAAAATTTTCCGATGAAATATGAAAAATACGAAAATTAGGAATTTCCAGAGAAATTGAGGTGCTGCCATCTATATATGGAAATGGCGATACTATTTAGGTAGTGGGTTATTTATAATATTTTCTAAGGCCTGTGAATTATGAAAAAACCCACATTTTAAGACAATTTTCCAAGATGTGAATTCTAGGTAACCTGTCCTGTAAATGTACTTATGGAGATAAACCTCGAATATCCCCGAACATAAAAAAATCATTCCAGAAAACAAATTAGAAAAATAATTATTTCCAGTAATGCGAAGGTGCTGCCATCTATGTTCGGAATTAAAAAAAAATTTAGATGGTAGCGCTGGACATTGGGTGAATATCCTGGTCAACTTTTGGCATACAGGTGGCCCTTTTGGAAAATTGTTTTTTTTTCGACATCTGAAATCTAGCAATCTTATCCTCAGAATATTCCTTGCCAGAATATAAATTAAGAGAAATAAGTACTTTAAAAAATACAAAATCGCAATATTATATATAGATGGCAGTGATTCAAACTTGGTTAATGACCTGACTTAATAAACAAGGCAACTCTTGACAATTAGGTGTAGATGAAAAAAAAATTATTCGTATTACAAAAAAAGGATTTTCAGAAGTACGTATATGCTGCCATCTAGGCGACAATACTCTGCACTGCTCCCATGGTAAATGTCCTTGCTAAAATAGCAATCCAAATTTGATGTATAGGTGGCCTTTAAATTTTTTTGTGGGTCTCTGAACCTTTAAAACTATTAACTTTAAATATTTTATAGAAAAATTTGTGGGCTCCTGAAGTTGGCTAAATTTGAGAGAAAATTTTTACTGGGTCTTCAAAATGTTATGGAAAATTACTCGTTAGTTTCTGAGGACCACAAAAAGTTATACAATTCTTTTTCGTAAGCCTATGAGGCCTATAGAAAAATTTCAAGACCACATTAATTGTCTTCCGAGGCATATAAAATTTTATAAAAAATATTTTTTGGCTTCTGAGACCAACAAAATGTTATAGAAAAAATTCAATGGACTCCTGAAGCTTAGAGCATTTTACAGAAATTTTTTAGTAGACCTCCGAAAAATTGCATTTTTCGTGGCTCTCTGAAGTCTATAAAATATTATATATATTGTTTCGTAGACCTCTATGACCTATAAAATGTTATAGATAATTTTTGAGGGTTTCTGGGGTCTAAAACATTTAAAAAATATATTTTTAAGACTTCAGAGACTCACAAAAATTTTAAGAAATATTTTTCATTGGCCTCTGAGGTCTAGAAAATTATATAGAAATATTTTCGAGCCTCTGAGGCCCACAAAAATTTTAAGAAATATTTTTCGTTGGTCTCTGAGTTCTACAAAATTTTAGAAAAATATTTTATGACCCACTGATTTATAGAATTTTTTCTTCGAGGCCCCAATGCCTTACGGTTTGATAGATATTTTTTCAGTGGCTCACAAATGTTATAGAAAATATTTTCTTCACACAACCAAGATCAAGAAAATCTACCGAAAATATTGTATTGCCTTCCGAGGCGAACAAACAAACCAGTTTTTGACATACAGATGGCATTTCATAAAATGGTGACATTTATTTCAGGTCTCCGTGCCCTATAAAAATTGTCTAAAAAATTAAAATGGGTCTCCGAGGCCTGTAAAATTATATAGAAATTCTTTTCCTCCGCTGTGAAATATATAAAATTCTGTAAAAAAAGATTTTTGGCCTCTGAGAGCTAAAATTTGATTGAGTGAAGGAAAATATTCAGTTTTGACATATAGGTGGCGTATCATGTCGGTGGATGACGAAGTTGGAGGCCTGCAAAATTTTATAGAATTTTTTCGTCGGCCTGCTAGGCTTAAAACATTTTACAAAAAAGTATTGTTGACCTATTGGGTCTAAAAATTTTTGAAAAGTTTTCCCTAGCCTCCGAGACAAGAAAACAATGTAGTTTTTGACATACAGATGGGGTTTCGTATAATGGTGGCGCTTAAGTTTATTTCAGGTCTCCGTGCCCCATAAAAATTTTGTCTATAAAATCAAAATAGGTCTCCGAGGCCTGTAAACTATACATAGAAATATTTTCCTCAAAATATGTAAAAAAAAAATTCTTAAGACAAGAAAATTCAGTTTTGACATATATGTGGCGTATCATGTCGGTGGATGACGACATTGGAGGCCTTCAACATTTTATAGAAATTTTTTCGTTGGTATGCTAGGCTTCAAATATTTTACAAAAAATTATTGTTGACCTGTTAGGTCTAAAAAAGTTTGTAAAAGTTTTCCCTGGCCTCCGACGCAAGAAAACAATGCAGTTTTTGAGATATAGGTAGCGTTTCTTGTAGTGTGTGGAAATTTTATATAATATTTTTCATAGGCTCCGCGGTTTCAATGTTATAAATAAATTTTGATTAGTCGTTAAGACCTACATAATTTTATAGATTTCTTAGTGGCTTCTGAGATAAGCAAATAAAGGAGTTTTTAAAATGTAGGTGGCGTTTCATACAACGGTTGTGTATTGTGTCATTCAAGGCCTTAAAATTTTATAGAAAATTCTACGTTGAACTACGAGGCCTACACAATATTATAGAAAAATTAAGGTGGGCCTGTTAGGCCTAACAATTTTTTTATGAATTGTTTAATGGCCTCGAAGGCATCTGGCAAACAATTCGCTTTTTGAAATCATTCGAGACCTGAAAATTGTATCGAAAATTTTTCGTTGCCCCCTAAGGTGTACAAAATTTTATAGAATAATTATGTTGGGTCTGTTAGGCGTATTAATTTTTTTTACAAATTATTCAATGGCCTTAAAGACAACCAAATAATGAAATTTTTGACATATAGGCGGCGTTTCATAGAAATTTTCTTGCTGGCATTCCACTTAAGCAAACAATTTGCTTTTTGAAATATAGGCGGCGTTCCATACCACTGTGGTTCATTGTGTCATTTGAGGCCTTAAAAATGTTATCGACATTTTTTGTTGCCCTCTGAGGCCTAAAAAATTTTATAGGAAATTAAGGGTGTGCCTGTTAGTCCTACCCAATTATATAGAAAAGTGTTTAATGGCCTCCAAAGCGCGCAAATAATAATGTTTTTGACATATAGGTGTCGTTTCATAGAAAATGTCTTATTGGCATTCCAATGCCCTTTTTGAAATATAGGTGGCGTTCCATACAATGGTTCAATGGCCTCTTGGGCAACCAAATAATGAAGTTTTGGATATAAAGGTGGCGTTTCATAGATAACTCTTTACTGGCCTCCCAGGTAAGAAAAGCATTTGCTTTTTGAAATATAGGTGGCGTTCCATGCCATGGTGGTGCTTTGTGCCATTCAAGGCCTTAACTAATTTTTCGTTGTCCTCCGAGGCTTACAAAAATCTTATAGAATATTGGTTGGAGGCCTAACAAATTTTATTAAAAAAATGGTCAATGGCCTCTAAGGCAGGCAAAAATGAAATGAAGTCTTTGACATACCAAGGAAACTAAAAAAATCGGTTTTTGAAATATAGGTGGCGTTTCAAACCCTGGTGTTTCGTCGTGTCATTTAAGGCTTTTAAAATGTTAAAGGAAATTTTTAATTTTTTTAGGCTTGTTAGTCCTAACAATTCTTTTAAAAAATAGTTCAAGGCAGGCATATCATTAAGTTTTTGGCATATAGGTGGTGTTTCATAGAGAATTTCTTACAAAATGTAAATAATGCACTTTTTGAAATATTGGTGGCCAAGGAATACAAAATGACATAATGGTGGTATAGAACATATGATGGCAAATGTGGTAATCCATAATCCGTCCATCAAAATTTGAACGAAAATATTCTTTTGGCCTCCGAGGTCTACAAAACGTTCTAGAATATTTATGGTTGACCTGTTAAACCCAATCAAAAAATATAGAAAAATGTCTACTGGCCTCAGAGATAAGCAAACTATTCTGTTGACATATAGGTGGCGTTTTTTATGTTGATTTTGTTTCCATTGCAACGAAATAATGTCATATTTTACATAAAGATGGCGTTGCAGATATATTTTTTAAAAAAGGGTAGGATGCCTACATTTTTTGTTTTCAAAAGTCTATTGGCCCCAGAGAAGCAGGCTCTCGAACTTATGGAGTTTTAGCACCGAGACAAAGTCAATTTTATAGGAATTTTTTCATAGGCCCCTAATCGCCCATAAGATTTTATAAAAAAAAAATCTTGGGTATCGTGTCCGATATAATTTTAAAAAATATTCGTGAGCCACGGCACCTGAAAATATTTTATTTTATTGTTTTAAATTTTTCATATTATTTTTTATGAGCCTCCAGGGTCAAAATTTTTTTCATGACCTACCGTAACCTATAGCTTCATATAGAATCATTTTTACCGCACCGGGGGATTCTATTTTTTTTAGAAAAAAATATATTTATAAAAATATATTTTATATTTATAAATAGGCTACAAAAAATGTGGTAAGAATTTTTTTATGGGCTATAGGGCCCATTAAAAAAATACAAAATTTGTTTATGTCCATAAAATGTTATTACTATCCCAAACCTTTTTCTCATTCCGAATAACCTTTTGAGAACATAGTCAAAAAATTGAAAATTTATTGCAATTGTTTGTTATTGCCACGCAGAAATGGCACTTTAATGCCTCTAACATTTAATTGATTTCCATGGAATATTTGAATTTCTAATTAAATCGGAAAATCGAAATGGAAATAATGGCTGGTCATATCCACAGTCGCCACACACTTTGACCAAATAACACACATTTGGCTTTTGGGCCAAAAAAAAAAAACCAATACGGCAGCAGCAGCCCATTTCAAATTGTTGGCATGACTTGAAAAGGGATTTCATGCCTCCATTGTCGACTTTTGGCAATGGGCGTTGTTCGGCCTGGACCAAACCAGCAGCCATAGACAATAGGTGTAAACAAACAAATTGAAACAT